GTCATAGTGGTTGTCCTCTAGGCAATTTGATACCAGATTTTAATGATGCTGTGTATCGGGAAGATTGGAAGGAAGCGTATCAGATATTGTCAGAAACCAATAATTTTCCAGAATTTACAGGTAGAATTTGTCCTGCGCCTTGTGAGGCGTCATGTGTATTGGGTATCAATAATCTACCTGTCACGATTGAAAATATAGAAAAACAAATCATAGAGCATGCATTTGCTCAAGGCTGGGTAATGGCCAATAATTACAGGGTAGAATCAGGCAAGCATATTGCCGTCATCGGATCGGGACCTGCTGGACTGGCAGCTGCAGCGCAACTCCATAAAGCAGGTCACCGCATCACGGTGTATGAACGAAATGAGAAACCAGGTGGATTATTAAGGTATGGAATCCCAGATTTCAAACTAGAAAAGTGGGTAGTAGATCGCCGTATCCAAGTCATGGAGGACTCAGGGATTATCTTTGTTTGTAATGCCCATGTAGGGCAAAATATTGATATCAAAGAGATAGAATCTAGTCATGATGCTATCGTATTGTGTGGTGGCAGCACCATCCCAAGAGACTTGTATATCGAAGGAAGAGAAGCGATTGGTGTCCACTTTGCTATGGATTTCCTAGAAAAGTCTAATAAATATGTCGATGCAGGTATGCAGACTTTGCCAGATATCTTTGTTCACGGCAAAAATGTCATTGTTATCGGTGGCGGAGATACTGGCGCAGATTGTGTAGGCACATCCAATCGTCAAGGCGCGGCAACCGTCACACAAATAGAATTACTTTCAAAACCAGGCACGAGCCGAACAGACAAAGATCCGTGGCCATTATGGCCAATGACACTACGTACTTCGAGTTCGCATGAAGAAGGTTGCCAAAGAGAGTGGTCCATCCAAACCAAGCAATTTGTCAAAAATGAAACTGGCCAACTTACAGGTTTAGAAATCGTAGAAATAGCATGGGCATTTGATACTGAAAAAGAACGATATGACTTCACAGAAGTAGCAGGTAGCCATAGGATTATACCTTGTGATATTGTATTTATAGCCGCAGGATTTCTACATCCACAGAAAGAAGGCATCATCGATCTGCTAGGCATCGAGCTTGATAATCGTGGCAATGTTGCTACCCAAAACTACCAAACTAATCTTCCCCATGTCTTTGCCGCAGGAGATATGCGTAGAGGTCAGTCTCTCGTCGTGTGGGCCATTTCAGAAGGAAGGGAAGCGGCTAGAGCGGTAGATAAATATCTGATGGGTACTACAAAATTGGAAGGGAAAGTGGTTAGTGATTTGGTGATGTAGGGAAAGATT